ATCTGTCATAATGATGCATAATGCAAACTTTTTGCCATCTGCTTTTTTTTCGGGGTTGCCCCCCATAGGGGGTGTATCATGGATGTATGTACTATGACATTATTTCGCCTTACCCATTTCCCTTTTTGATTTTCAATTTTGATTTTCTAGGAGGATTCGTTCTACTTGAGGGTTCTGCAACGCATCCACACCCATGACGCAACCACGTGACAGGTTTGGAGTCGTGACTTGGGCGCCTTCTCCTTGACGACTCTTGACCGTCGCCCGACAAGCCTTCCCCTCCGTAGGACTGCTTTGCCTACTGACTCTTTTTGTCTCTCTCTTCTTCATCTTTTTTTTCTCTCCCTTCAGTTGTTGTGCTTTGCTTGCGTGTGTTTATTCTCCTCGCTCTCTTTGGTCCCTCTCTCGCTTTTGGGACTGAGCAGTTTTTTGCCGTACTCGACTCCATCAAAACCCCAAGCAGAGCCCACCTCTCCCTTCCACCCGCCAAAGGGTCGGTTTTCCTGTTGTCTGCCCGCCTACACTCACTCTCCTCTCCCCAGACGGGTAAAAAGGGAAATTAAAAAAAAGAAAACGAAACAGGGAATATAATTTTTTTTTCTAGTTCCCTTACGAAATTTTATTTTTAAAAGAAGGTTTTCAGGAACAAAAACTTCCGAGGGAGAGGGGAGACTAAAAAAGAAAAGTAACTAAGAAATAAATTCCAGTCAGGGCAGAGAAGAAAAAAAAAGGGAAATAATATTTCCCCATTATCATCAACTTTTATCATCCACGCCATTTTCCTTCTTTGAACGCATCACAGATCCTGCCGCCGATTGTCACGACCTCAACGACATTGCATCCATGCTCTGAGGCTTGCTTGTTTCGTCTTGTCCACCCAACGTATGTTTAATCCGAACAGTGCTTCCTTACTTTGACTTACAAACCACAATCCACCGACACCCCTCCCTCCCTCTTTCCCTCTCTCTTCCTTTCCCTTTTCTCACCTTCGGGCAGAACACCCATTCCATCATCCACTTTATTCCCGTTGGAACTTCCCACAGTTTTCACCCTAACTTGGTGTACTTCTTTCCCCCCCTTTTAAAAAAAAGAAAAAGGAGATTTTATACTTATCATTTGATTTGATATTTGGCTCTTATCTTTCGCTATCTCCGTCATTTTTTCTTTTTCTCTTTGCTTTTTACTTTTTCTTTTCCCTTTTCTAGAATAAACTCTCTTCGATCCTCCTCCCCTCCCTCATTTCAACCACACTCAACTCGAAACCCCCATATACTCCCCCCACTTTCCCTTCCCCTCTGATTGTCGCAGAAGCAAAAGTCAAAATAGAAAGAGAGAGAGAGGGAGAGAACATCCTCCAGATTCATTTCATGCGTGGCAGAAAAGACAGTTGTTGACCCATCGTCTCGAAAAAGGCAGAGCGATGATTAGCCTCAGGGTGGAACAGCACTCAGATTCTCCGAGATCCCGTCAAGACCATATTTTCCTTGGAAACGACGACACCAGAGCCTTCGACGGCAATGCCGATTGCCAGTGAGAGCAGCACGACCGTCAACCCCGTGACTACCACCATGACAACATTTTCCGCCCCAGTAACCGCACCTAGATCGATGCCCAACAATCAGTCTGCGTTGGCTGCATCCTTCACCAACTTTCTCACCGTTTCAATACACCAAATCTTATTCCTCCGTTCGGTCTATCCGCGAGCGACTTTTTTGCCCGTTCGGGCCTACAACTATCCGGTCCGACAGTCCCGTCACCCGAAAGTGTGTGATTATATCAATGACGCGTCAATTGCGGTCGGGACAGAGATCTTGAAGGGCACAATCACCGCAGTCAGTATCATCATTTCATCTCTCCGCACCAACCAACCCCTCGAACGATATGCTTTTGATCTGTCGGGTTTCCCCCGCGTCCCTGCTGGAGAGATCAATACCACCTTTGAAGATAGAAAGGAAGATTCATCCAAACCAGGTGCCCCCTTATCGGACCGGGGTTCCGCTCCTCCGCCAGTCGACCTCGAGGCGCAGTTCCGTGCCTGTCTCGCCCGATTGGCCTCCGCTTGCGCCCGATTAACTCCGTTGCCCCGGGATGACGAATTTAGTTTCACAGTCTGCATTGAAGTTCGGGAAGATGCCTTGCCCCCTGCGGGTACTACAACAGAAGAACAAACTTGGATTGTGGCCGAACCGGGCAAGGTCCATCTCCGGTCGTGTACCGCACCGTATTCTGTTTCCAAACTTCGAAACGGCGAACCACAGCAGCCTCCCCCCAGAGTATCGAACGGTCGCGCCAAAACGGTGCCTGTACGACGTGTAGAAGCTGGTGAGCTTCGTCTGGAATTATGGGTGGAAGAGGCACGACAGAAATTTAATGAGCCGGTGGATTCAGAACATCCTCCATGAATCTGACTTTCTGTTCAAATCGATTTTCCATCCTCTTGCCTCTGTTCATCTAGTTATTTCATTTCTTTTTCCTTAAACTTGTTTTTGCACCTTACCATCTTTTCTCCCGTTTCTCTCATTCTTGTTTTAGCGTGACCAATGATCGAACATACATGATGGATGAGGGCATAGGGAATTGTCGTCCGAGTGAGCGGCGCAAATATATAAAATGGGGGGCGGACGATTTTTGGGACTCGCATGGCATTACATAGATCTGGTTCATATCTTTCATTTCTTGTTTTCACTGCTCTGTCTTTTTTCTCCGTCACGTTCCTTCTCCATTTGTTTTCCACTACCATCTTCTATTCTTTTCTTCGCCTACCTTTCCTTCTATCTTGATCACTTTTCCTCCAATATTTCTCTTTGCTTCCTCTGACTGTTTCACTTCCATACCATTTCCTCTTGTATTTCTCTCGTCTCCTTTGTCGAACACTCTCCTACTACATGATCCTAGCAAATTCAAATATCTAGCAACTAGCTACCAGACCGGTCCCCCGTCTTGTCAGTACCGCCGTTAGTGAAGATCTTTCGAGTCCCGTCCTGTCCGTAATTGATAATATATATCCCCATGATTGTGGCAGTCTGACATTTTTTTTTTTGCTGTTTCTCTCATCTCATATGCGTTTTACATTTCCCTTTGCTTTTTTGGTTTGCTGCTCCTGTCACATGGGGTCTTGGAAAAGTGTTTCATTCTGCATGTAGCATGTCTTGATGCTTGGATATGGTTGATAATGAGATGCAGGCACCCAGAACTTCAGAGCAGGAAACCTTTATACGAAATCTCAAAGGCGATCGTGGCTATTGAGACGTGAAACTTGGGTGGAAAGTTACATTTAACCAACTTGCGTGAACGGGCTGTAAAAGGGTTCCCGCTTTTGGTCTTGTCACCCAATTCCGGAAACTGATCATCAAGCAAACGTTTACATATGTGAATGGTGATCCAGTCTCTGATCTATTGCTGTCACTGGGGTGTGAATTGTTCGAGTTTTGTTCTGCTACCTGGTATATGCTGATTTCTGTCTGTTTATGTCGTTCATTACTGTGTGATGATTGATGGCAATGAAGTTATTGAATTAGACTACGTACTAGTTTCTTGCATCCATTTGGTCCATGTTTACTTCTGCATATATTGATCTCCAGCATCTGATCTGACCTATAGTAAGTAGGTTCGAGAAGGTAAAGAAAGGCCCTAACGTAGACCAGCAAAGTCTAAATGTCTATCTAGAAACCATAAAGATGCTAGCGTTGGTAATACTAGGTATAGCCTGATGATACTATAAGCAAAAATGAGACATTCTGAAACAATGAGAATCGCACTAAGATCCGCAAGTGGCTGACGGACTGTGGCTATATGGGCCCGGTTTTTCATAATAATCGGGGTTCTATCCTCTTCAACCTGGAAGAGATACAACCAGTCGCTCTCCCAAGATCTGACATACCTCTTTTAGGCTTTGAACACTTATAGGTCAATTATCGGCAGGGCATGGCTACATGGCGCCATGGTGGCTCATACCTGAATTGATACCTTACCAGTCACCATATTTGGGTTCGATTTAACATTTTCTGATGATTTGTATCGCACTTGGAATACCCTTCCTATCGCTAGGGCGTCTCGACAACAAATGATACATCCTAGAAGCTCCAGGTTGGCTATGGAGCAAAGATCAGAGGATGTTAGGCGCAAATGTATTTTGAAGATTTTTTTAAAGCCTATGCGGTAGTGTATGCCCATCATATGCAAGAGCACAACAGTTCAGTACTACTTGCTACACTTATTCCCCGGGAATAGCATGATTCAGACCATCGAGTAGTTCTATGGGTTTGACTTAGTACCGACTAAGTATACTAAACATATTTCCATATCCGGTTAGTACTTAGCCAACTGGACAGCAGAGATTCTTCAGCAGGGAGTTGTTTACAGAGTGAAGATAAATAATTCTCAGATCCATGTCACTGGTTATAATGACCATCAGCAATGCCTTGCAGTCTTGGGGTTTAGAAATATTGTCAGTTGCAGAGGGTGTCACTGGAATTAAAGGGTACGGATAAAGACGGTATAGCTGGGAAATTTATCAGACGACAATACAGTTGTCAAGAAGAACCGGTTCCTTGAAACTACAAGAGCATATTTCCTACGAATATACTGACCGCAAATTCACACTGTGAAGATTTCCAAGCTAATTCATAGGTTACTAGTCGAAGGCCAGGAATTTTTCCTTAATGAAGGCTCATCTTAACTCAAATCAAGGCAGAGAATAACCTTCTGGTATTAGAAGATTCTGCGCATTTTCACCGCTAGTAGCCACATTTGCGCCACTATCCATGGCCATAAACTAGAGTATATCTTGGAATGTCAAGTACTAACTGCCGTTACTACCTGGCAGGTTACGGTCAGTTGGGATGTCTCTCCATTGGAAAGGAGGGTGCTTCTATTCGGCTCACAGGTATATAGATGCTCAGAGCCCGCCCTCAAGCCTCATGAAAACACCATAAGTCTATACCATCACTAGCTTATAATTATTCATCACAAGTCTTAAAAGCCGCGTTGTCTATTTAATGATGCCCTCAACAAAGATAGATATCCCAAATGGCCATAGCATGCTTAAGCCGCACAACCTCAACATTCACGAGAACCGCCATGATGCTAAATTTTACGACACCATGGCCACAATTATGTCGCTGCGACAGACATATATGAACGACCGATTTATCTTCGTGAAGGGAAAGGACATGGTCCCAATTCTCAAAGGCTTGGGAGCTAGGGACACTGATTTCGAACTCCTAAAGTCAATTAGCGACCAGACAAGCCCTGACCCGACTCTTGATTATCGTGCTGCATCTCTTGGTTGCTACTGTATTGATTTTGAGGCAAGAGACATTCGGCGGTTAGAGCAACAGCCATACACGCTCACTGTTCAAGAGGACTATAAGCGTCACGATTCTGCAATTCGAAGGATCTTTGCCGAAGTCCCAACAGATATGCAAGAGAATACAGTAGTACAAGCGTTGATGATATTCATGGCCTTGGTGTTCCAAGATGTGCCTATAACTCCGCGTGATCAGCTGGATTATTCCTCACAGAGCTGGGTCTGTATGATATTCAATGGTCGAATAGTCACCGATATCTCAAAAGGAATCTTCGGCGAACCGGCTCTTGAGGGCGTTCACTCTGATGGGATCGGATCACACGATGTCAGTTCTATTTAGATGTGATCATATGAGGCCTGACAGTGCAGTTACCTTCCTGCATGACAATGAAGAGACAACGGGGGTGCCCGTCTCGAAAGTGGAACCAGCTTTGATCAAAGCACGAGTCCAGCATCGTCACTTTCTTGATACGCTGATCTTCGTCGATCATGATTATAAACATAGCGTAACATCACTGCACCCGCTTTGTCCGTCATCAATTGCACTTCGTGACGTGCTAGTGGCGTTTACCTGCCGGCCAAAGATGGAGGGGCATGTTTCAGGATATAGTGACTTAATGGCTCTCCACACCGAATCGCCAATGCAGATTCCCTTATGGCTTCCATAACCTGCGACTTGATTCACACCGTGCAAGGATGATAGGAATGGGTGGGCAAGTTGCAATGACTCCATGTTTTTGAGTGTCCCCGTCCAATATTGCTCTAATAGAATCCAATGTAACATTTTGATTGGTTGTTTGCACCGCAAGAGCGGCCGTAGACTCTTCCTCATTCATGTTCAGCCAATCGACTCTCAGTATGATAATCCGGTAAGAATACTCACTGCAACCCTTGGTTGATAGTCAGTTACTCGCCTGGATGAGATTCTAAAACCAGCCCACGTACATCGGCTGGGTGATAGAAGATAGTGCTTTCTAAGATAAAAGGCAAATACAAGGGCGGAATGCACTTTAGACTCTAGATGGACGATAGACTCATAGTGTAGGAGAGATGAGAGCGATAGGTAAGCGGCATAAACGTTCTTGTCCCGTTGACAGACGGAGGGAAGGAATTGGTTGATAAGACACAGTCACCGAGAGTCAAAGAACACTGAGTGTAGAATGATTGAAGACTGATGTAAGCAACTACGCGATACCTTGAACCGGTCATGGTTGCTAAAGCGACGGGCAGAGTTGCCCATTGTTAGAAGACTGTATATCTTCCGTCTCAGACCACGCTACTCATTCTTTGGTTCCAGTAAGTGATTTGTACAAGATACCCAGAGTTTATCTGGTAGGCATCTTACACCCCCGTGACCTCAGATGTGATCAAGACTCGGCATTCAGTCCCGTCTCAAGTCACAACAATAGTTCTCAACTACTTTGTTTCTTCTAATCCTGATGCAATACAACTTCCAAGCATGGACCGGCTAAGAAGCTATCCGTCCAGTATGGCAACGGAAATACCGACGGACGCAAACGAAGCGCTTGACGACTTTTATGAAGACTACCCCCACATCATCTTCATCAGATTACAATGGCAAGACTACTCCGGAGTAATGCGTGCACTTGTTTTACCAATAGAGGAAGCACTCATCATATTAGCGACGGAGAAGCAACCATTCCATGTACCTCCCCTCCTGTCCAACTGTTCCATGACAAACCAATATCTCCCAGACGCAAGTGCCCGCCATGTGCAATGGCTGGTCCCAGACTGGTCTTCTATCCGGCTAACAGCTGATCCCCGAAGCGCAGTGGTGATGTGCGGAGTAGTGGGGACGACAATATCCAAGCCGGTGCCGAGCGGAGACCTGTGTCCCCGGCGAGCGCTAGTGGACGTCGTGCGACAGGCACAGGACGCCTGGAACTTGGAATTTCTCATCGGATTCGAGGTGGAGTTTCAGGTGATGAAGGTCTCGTCCACGACAGGAGAATATGTCAAGCACAGTCAAGGCCCAGGGAACTTTTCTTTATCCGGCCTGCGGGATCCATGCTACCAGTATGTGCAGCAGTGCGTTCAAGAACTATCGGCCCTAGGGGTGCACATCCATGGACTACATTCGGAGGGCAAACGAGGGCAGTATGAAATCGCTCTGAAACCCCTACCACCGATGCAGGCCGTGGATCAACTACACTTTGTGCACGATTATCTCAAAGACACATTTGCCAAGCACGGCTATATGGCCACCATGGCACCGAAACCTCTAATCTCAGATCCACACACCATTGGGCAACATATGCACCTCTCGCTGGAGTCTGTCGATGGCGACTACGAAACATCCTTCCTAGCCGGCATCCTCAAGCGTTTACCGATGATCTGCGCCTTCTGTCTACCCCACACGCTCTCTTACGAACGACGACTCCCATTCTTGGCCGGGGAGACGGTATGCTGGGGAACCGAGGCGAGGATAGCGCCTATCCGGAAGATCGAGGCCAGTCATTGGGAGATAAGATGCATCGACGCAACTGCCAACATGTACCTCACCCTAGCTGCTGTACTTGGCGCTGGCATACTCGGGTTGGCAGGCCAAGAGCCTCTCCTTTGGCCAGACTTGGGTGATCTTACAATTGAACCTAAGACTTGGGAAGAGCCGCTGCCCAGGACTCTGCAGGAATCATTGGCGTGCTTGGCTACGAAGACTGACGATTTCGCTACCATATTTGGCCTACCCTTGATACAACGTTACATAGAGCTGAAGCAGTACGAGATATCTCAAGTTGGAGGGATGGATCCTGTGAAGTTGAGAGAACTGTTCATTGAGCTATTCTAACTTTGCGTTTGTATGCGCTGAAGCTGTGGAGCAAGGCGAACTTGAATGAACAATTGATTCCAGTACAGTTGACTGGATTAGACTGCTGCAAGCTGGTAAAGGCTACTCTCAGACGCCATGGCAAGGTAATCAACTAGTGTTGTTTTAAAAAATTCGGAATTTGTGCGTTGTCCAAAAACTACTCAAACTTGGCTTCTCTATCTACCCATGGAATCGCGTCTGCCAGTAAAAACACACAAAAAGCATCCTGAACACTAGGGAAGTTTATTGAAGTGGTCTTACCCCGACTACTCAGGACCTGCTTGTAAAAATCTAGCAATGCTAGGTGAGAATCTGATATGTGCGTACTTTGTATATCATCATTTTACCTTCCAGCTGTTTATGTTCTCTTCATTCATTGGCTGTCTTTGTTTGTGTTAATCTTTGTTTTTATTGAGATTTTCAGTGTGCGGTATTGGAAAGGGAGAGCTTGTAGTTGTTTCTGCCCTATTAAACCAAAAGCGTAAAGGAGATCAAAAAGTAGATCAAGTTATGACCAGACGTGAACGAAACTTTCAACAGAAATGTTCCATGCTCATGCCAAACTCAAACACAGAAATAACCAACACGTAGATCTGCAATTCGAAGTGAGACAGAAATATGTCACTCTCCAGTACTCACTGCACTGTGTCATGTAGCCGACGCGTTACTAAATTTAACGAGTTGAGTCGGAAGTACCGGATTAAGCACTAAGCCTAATATTCAGTATATAGCGCCCACTCGACAAGGCACGGGGCCTTCCAATGAATTGCAAGCATTAGTCCTGGATGTGTTATTGGTTTGGTTTTCTGAATGATAGATCTATAGCACATTGTATGCGTCGACCCAGGTATCGAAATAACGATTCCTCAGAAGTTGTACAATGGGCCATCCAGCCATACGGGTACATCCGCGTTCTGACCAGGCATAGTACCAATACCGTAATTGTTTAGTGCAGGAAACTGCGGCTGCAATGGTAGCTTGCCTGTAGCCTTGGCATTGTCTGTATTCGTCGTTAAAGTAAATGGGTCTGGAAGGAAGTCTTTCTGCGGAGGAGGAGCAAAACCATTGAAGCCTTGAGGAGGGGCGTTGGGAGAGCCTTGGGGCAATACTGTAGCGGCACGTCGATTCAACTGAGGCTCGAATGCAGGTAGTGGACGTTGAAAGGCAGTATAGCGCAACTCCGGAATGATGAGATCTGGTTCAAATGGAACGAACTGCGGAGGATTAGGGAATGCTGCTCTCGGCATTTGCATTCTTTGATAGCCTAGTTGCGATAAAATGTCTTGATTCTGACCAGGCAAAGGCTCTTGTGTGTGCCGCCCCGTAGGCCAAGGTCCAGGTTGAGTGCGTCGGAGTTTTGGCTTTGTATGAGTTTTTGTATCCTTCCTATCAGGATCCACTCGAAGGTCTCTCTCCATCAATTCGGGGTTATCCCTCAAGATCTTGTCAATGGCTGTATTCTGGGCCTGCTCAACTTCAATCTCAAAGCGCTTCGGCTTGCGATCATCGTGAGTATCGCAGTAAGTGGGAGGCTTGCCAAAATGGTTGTACTGTTCGCGTGAAATATCCTTCTTGCATAAATAGCACATCACACACGAGCATTTGCTGCAGATCATTTTGTTACATCCCATATCTTTAATGATTTTGACATGGCATTTGGGGCAGTTACGTATTAGGGCCTCGCTCATTGCCTCTTCAACCATGTGGCGTGCGGGGAGTCCCTTCTCTGCCCTTGCCTCATCGCAAGTTTTTGGTATGTGGCTTTTGTCTTTGCACAAACGGCAGCTAACCGTTTCACAAGAGGGATTGCAGCACCGAAATTCTCGGTCTTCTTCTACCGGGGGACAGATTCCCTTGAAGTCACAGAACGGGCAGCTTTCGAGTCCCTCTAAGCCGGCTTGCTCAACTTCGTCTTGCTGCTGAAGGTGGTCTAGCTTCCCCATTAATGAGGAGCCCAACGCGTTCTTCAAGTTCCCACGAGCAAACTTGGCATTGCATTCACTCATGTCAAGGCACTGCAACTTGTATTTCATCATTCCGATCTGTGTCTCTGCAGTTTTTCGGATGCATCCGAAGCAGAAAAAGTGGACGGTTGCACCTTCACAAGGAATCGTTCTATTTGAGGGGACATCAGAATAGCAGCATTGGCATTCCACAAGGTTGCCTGATCGTGAGTGTTCCTCTTCGTTGAGCTTGTCCGCCTCCTCCTCTTCCTTTCGCGTTCGGTGAGCAGCTTCGAGTCTTGTTAACAGATTTTATGTCTTAACGTGACAGCAATAACACTTACCAGCATCCTTCGCAGTCCTCCTTTTCGCAGCATTTAGTTCCGATATCAAGTCTTGGTCCCACATCTTACCTGACTTCACGAGTGGCCTTGGCCGCTTCAATCTGAGGTGTAATGATTGGGTCCCTGGGTGAATATACTCCTTATAGAGTGCTATGTAAGCCGAATACAGCCCTTTCTTGCTGGAAACGAGTCGTCGGATATGTGGAATAGCGATCCACAGAAATTCCTGTGCCAGAATGTCGCATCTGTAACAACGGTTGGCAAGCACACGCATACGTAGAGCTAAGACTAACTCACGCTTGTTGACGATATTCACAAGCATCATGAAGTGCCCTAGGTACCGTCCAATGGTTATCATCCTCCTCTTCTTCTTCTTCTTCGGTCTTCCTTTTAAGCTTCTCCTGCTTTGGGTAAGATGTATTCTCCAGAATCTCCTCGATAATTGTCTCTTTGACCAGGAACAACCCGAAAGTGATAAAAGGTGTATTACTGCCGCTGGCCGACATGGCATCCTTGTGTCGAGCTATTAACTCTTCTACATACTGGTGGCTAATGTCAGGAAATATCTCTAATATCTGGGGTAGCAATGCTGCTTTAGCTGTCGGCGTAGGAGTAGGGTCATCCAAGACCATCAGTGCGGGGTTTGTGATGTGACGTGATGGTGTTGGAATATTATCAAGGCCTATGGGAGGAGACTCGTTAATCAAATCTGCAGTTTCCATGGCTGCACTGGAATAGTGGCTTCTCGTTTTCTTTGCAGGCCTTGCAGCGGGAAGAGAAGGCTCATTCCACTGAAAGCCCAGATCATCGTTCTGCCTGTCGAGTCCCCAATGCATATGGTGGCTCTCACCCAGCAGTAGTCTCTCATCACCAAAAGGAGTTCTCAAGTCGTCAACATTATGGTTCCATGGGTATCCAAATCCCATGGGATCCCCGTCCATGTTGGGCGTTTTGGGGCGGTTGAGGCGATTTTTACGATGGCGAGACTGCGCAGAGAAATTTTTTAGAAAGAAACAGCATTATAAGGCCAGACAAGAAGAATGATCAATAAGAGATAGGGGCCCTGATTGTAAGGAGGGATCGTGAATATGAGAAGAGACACCCGTCTCAGTCTTTAACGGGGGGTCATAGTGATGGAATCCCATTCAAGTACCAAGACCCAGTCATTATGACAAAAGCATAGCACCACGGAAGCAAGCGGCGTTTATATAGTTTACAAATGTAAAGAAATGTAAAAGTGAATTCCGGTGGCCCGGGTCGATATAAAACTTCTCCCGCGCGGCATTCGAAAGGAGCAGTACGAAAACATACTTCACCTCAGGTGTGAAGCATCCACACATTGAAATCCTCTTTCCTTTCCGTTCCTTGATTTAGCCTCCTTTCTCTTGAGATAAGCTTTTGAGGCCTTTTTCCTAGCACCGATCTGTATACTCGGCAACAATATCCGTGGGGCTCGAAGAAGATCGCCGAAGTGGGAAAGGTGTAAATAGGGGAAGTTTAAAACGGAATGTCGCAGTGGGGCTCTCAAGAGTGGGCTCGCAGTTTACCCCAGAATTATGGGTTCATCATGGATTCTGGAAGCGAGAATGTGGTAAATAAGCTGATGGCCATGCATATATGAAAACGGGGTGGATAGGTTCACTGTAACAGTGTGGGATCCAAATATGTCACCCCATCAAACAACAGCTGCTCTGGAGTAGTTTACGTAGTTTTCATCAGATGGTGGGATCTTACGTGAAGCTTGCTGGCAGTAAACTATACCGCTTGCCGCTTTGGGTGTACGAGCTATCTCCACAGAGATGACTAATATTCGCTGATAACGTGAACCAGAAGGCCATAATTTACCGCTAAAGAAACTGGCTGCTGCAGGGGTGGACTTTGTACTCCGTACAACCCGAGATATGGATCGATAAGATACCATCTAGCGTAAGGTATTGTAAGATTAAAAGAAGGCGAAAAAAGAACACCTCAGGTGCCTGTCGCATATGATACATGCAATATACCCGTTCAGAGGTTACAATTGGATCCCTTACGTTGTCTCCGCGCCTTCACTACGTCATGGTCTTCATCGTATAGCCTTTAGAGGCAGGTACATCCCCAGCTGAGTCAACTTTGTACCGCTTCGCATCGCTTGTCGTCGGCAGGGCGTGACAAACAGAAACAATCCCTTGACCAAAGGGGTCTTGGTCTCTACTATAACTACCCCCGGTCCTTTTAGTTCAATGATATAGGCATACATCTGTCCTCAAGAGCTACCCTCAGTTTGGCTCTCAACAGTTCCGTCCGAATATCACAACGGGTACCGTCGTCATCATTTTATCAACCCCCCCCCCACTATAATACCATATTCAGCTTTGTTTCAAATTTGAACCGCTTTCTTTGGAGAGAAAGCGAACTGGTTGCATTGTGTTCATTATGATTGCCGCTGACAACTCTTATCTTGATAACACTGCCCTTCCATCAGGCGAATCCCCGGAGTTGATCTTAGTGCAGGCGACCCCAGAGGAACGTATCGCAGCTATAAAGCTGAATAGTCCAGCTTGGAAGGGTCCTTTGGACCTTGATGCGTATATTGCACGAGAAAATCACTTAGCCCAACAAGCATTGACGAAGGATGGCTTGACGAGCTGGTTGTTGGTCGTCCGAGGTCAACCAGAAGGTGAACGGGCAATCCTTAGCTCCTGCGAGACATACAAAAAGAAGGCAATTTTGGCACAAAACGGTAAAGTGGAACATGTATCCGCCCTCAGTATCGGCAGTGTTTTCTGCCGACCTGAATTCAGAGGCAAGGGATATGCGAAAAGAATGATGCAGGAATTGGTCAAGAAAATAGACGTGTGGCAAACGGAGCCCAAGGCCACCAACAGAATACCTTTCAGTTTGTTATACTCTGATATCGGAAAGAAGTTCTATGCTCAATTTGGGTGGATGCCCTATCCCTCTACACACTTCAGCCTTACCCCGTTGCCAAAGGATGAATATGATCGAGCCATCGTTCGAGGAAACCTTCCAAAGGCGAGGACCTTGGTTGCAGAAGACGTTCATCGTTTCATGTGCAACAATGACGTGGTTCAAAAGGAGCTAGATATCCTCCGCATCGCATCTCAAAAATCTGCGAGTGCCAAAGTAGCGGTCGTCCCGGACTTTGACCATTTCAAGTGGCACTGGGCAAGGGAGGAGTATTACGCAAAGATTCTCTTCAAGGACAGAACACCGCCATTGATCAAGGGTGCCGGTGATGAACAGTCCAAAGTATACTGTGCATGGAATAGAAACTTCGGTGAAACTCCAGAGGAAAACACTCTGTACATCCTGAGGTGGGTGTACGACGAGCCAACTTCACCAGAGGAAACAGAGAAAACCGCAAAAGCCATGGCCGCAATCATAAGACGTGCCCAACTAGAGGCGCATGCGTGGGGTATGGCGAAGGTTCAGTTCTGGAATCCAACCCCAGTGCTGGAGAGGGCTGTTTCCATTTTAGACCCTACGGCGCAGGTCGTCCATCGGGAGCAGGACAGTGTAGCCTGCTTGAGGTGGAGTGGCGCCGAGCAAGGCAAGGACGTTGAGTGGCTCTGGAATGAGAAGTACGCTTGGTGCTGATTGTCGGTCATATTTGCGTTCCTCGGCGAGTAATGCATGACATTGATAGAGGGGATGGCTATCTAGAGTAAACCGGCTCAATCATAGAGGCGACGCTCGAGCCCGCGCGGACTTGGCTTAGCGTTTCTGGCGTTTTTGGTTCTTGAATAGCTCGTGCCAATTTCTTGTCTTTTTGGCTGCTGTCGCAGCGCTAGCATCCGTCGAGACATTTTTCTTTATCTTCTGTCGGTCGGTTCGATAAACGAAGCAGATCGTCGTGGGATCTGGATGCTTGTATGAGTTTTCCTGCGTATAATGTCAGATACCATAACATCTAGTAATGATAGATGATTAATGTGGCGAGTATCCAAGCTAGCAAGCGCTCCACTTACCGTCAATTTCGAGAATGCAACATCGTTCCGCCAGGACTCAGGGAGGAGATCCTTCCAAGCATTCAGGAATTCACTTCTCCCGATGCCAGAAGCAGTGGTCGGCGCCATGGCCTCCAGGTAGGTCTCACCAACCCATTGCGTACAGCGTGCCTTATCGATACTGGCCCCTATATCCACGAAAACGTCAGTTCAAAATAACATCCACCAATCTAACCCTTCCAGCAACGTAAATAAGAAACTCACACTTCAAATCCTCAAACAACTGCCCATCCCCAGCCTCACAAACCCTTCTAACGATACTTTCCAACAACGCCCTCGGAAAAGGCTCCTCCATCCCCTCATCAAGCACCGATCTCCACAAATCCTGCACCAAGAATTGCCTACCCAGGTCTATCCCCTGCAACACAGCCCCCTCAACCACCCGTCTCCACACATCCAACTTGGCCCTCGCCGACGGCCTCCGGCACCAACCCGCAACATCACCCCCACTACCCCCGCCCCCAAGCACAAACGCACAAAGCTCAGTCCACCCCGCCTCACACTGCGCCCGTGACACAGGAACATCATCAAAGACCCTCCGAATCACGTCCCCCCGTTGCTCCACCTCCTGCTCCGCTCCCTCCGCCTCATCATAAACAGGCAATATCCTCTCCAGAACAGGGACCGCCGAGAACCCCTCCGGCGGTGTGTGCAATTCAAGTGTAGACCCGCATTTCGCAATAGCGGTCATCGTCTCGACGAGATTTAATTCGTCATCCTCGTCGCCGCCGACGATGTTAATGTCTCCTCTTTGGACACCGGAGTCGCTTGGTCGGATTATGTGGATCGAGTTTGAGGATTGGACTTGGCGAACGAGGTAGGTTTTTGTCGGCGTGCAGAGGTTTACATATTCGCGGTTTTCGGGGTCCGTGGTTGCCGTTGTGAGTTGTTGGGGGGTTGGGGATTTCAATTCGAGGCTGTGGAAATTTTAGTTAGTTTCCTTTGAAGACGTTCAGGGATTTCAAAAGGATCGCGAGGGGGGTTGGCAGCGTGTAGCGTACGTTGGAGCTTCTTTTGATGTGAGCAGCTCGGCCAGTTCTGTTGGTAGCTCTAGTAGTTTGAATCCCTGCTGAGGGGATGTGTGGGTGAAAAGAATGCTGGAAGCGGCTTGTGTAGACATTATGATGTCTTAATCTTTGTCGCCTTTGGAAGGCGCTCGAGTAGTGGCTAGGTATGGGTGTATTGACGCTCAATGGGTATGCGATGTTATACCTATCGAGGGAATAATCGAGGTGGTACGTCTGGACGCGATTCAAACGCGTGCCGGCTCCCGACGAGATGGACGCACAGACCACTGCTTAATGGATGTGCTCAGTACCGGATCTATAAATCGACGAAGTAAGATACATGAAACTTGATGAAAGTCAAGCCCTAGAGGACGCTATAACATGTATATGAAAGGCAGACAATAAATGGTACGATGTATTGGGAAGAATGAAAAAGCTACAATATGACAGAAAGTGAATTATGAGACTTAACGATGCGGAATAACTACGATCCACTCGCACCATGTAATTTTGTTGTTGCCATAGCGGTTGGAATGTATGAATACTAGTAGTCCTGTTTGGCTATTCTGCATGGATTGGAATACACAAGATAATATGATGAAGCGAAATGTAGCATATACCTGGTGCAGAACTATAATGATTATAGTCATTCATTACCAATGGTGAAAAAGCAAAAAAAGAAGGGGTAGCCCCCGGCGAGGCTCGAACTCGCAACCTTAAGATCGCTTGAAGGCTAGACTATTGATTTCTTGTTAGTTATGGGGTCTGGAAAACGAGTCCTTGGGAGGTGTAACATACAGTCTTACGCGCTACCATTGCGCTACGGGGGCAGTTGTTGTTCTGCCGTTGGACAGACCATTTATACAGCACCATAGTTGCCCGGATAGTAGAAACGGAAAAAAAAGAGGGGTAGCCCCCGGCGAGGCTCGAACTCGCAACCTTAAGATCGCTTGAAGGCTAGACTGTTATTTTATTAGTTATGAGAGCTTGAGGGTTATGTATCGGCAGTGTTCACATACAGTCTTACGCGCTACCATTGCGCTACGGGGGCCATTGATGCCAAAAGTGTCCTTTTTTGCTCTGTTAAACAAAGTCTATTATATGCAGGACCACGCTGAGAGACCACAATTCAATACAATGTTACCATCTCGTTGTCTGTGCATATAAGAGGCTTAGGTTAGTACTTCACGCTGTTAAATGTTGCTTTGCGGCCTAAGAAGGCCACTCAAGGGCTATGTAGCGAAAATCGGTATAATTGTACTGCCTATTTGTGAAATGTAGATATTCCTAGTGGTCTCATGGACGTACGCATCTGGCACATTGTTAATATATCCGCCGATGTGTTTGCCGGGAATGGTGAGCTCATGTTTATATATTTTTCCATAATTACCAACCTCAGATCCAGTGGAATCTCTAGAGTAAGTCGAACATGTATGCTGGCTGACAAGCAGGATTCTTACATGTTGCACTACTTACAAAAGCACCGACGATGTCTCTGAACAAGCGATGCTTTGTAATGTATATATGAGTACCAATCTACACAACAACGGCCCCCGTAGCGCAATGGTAGCGCGTAAGACTGTATGTGCACACATTCATTCTCCATATTAAAGCCCCTCAACTAACAATTCAACAGTCTAGCTTCTTAAGCGATCTTAAGGTTGCGAGTTCGAGCCTCGCCGGGGGCTATATCCTCCTTTCTTTTTTTAAAATTTTTAATTTTCTACCATGCGAGTGACTCCGCTGGGCAACTCTCGATTTTAATTGACATACACCTTAATATCCAAAATATCCATGCCTGGTCGGAACTCAATAGGCTTTTGCTCTCTAGCCTCGAAGATTGGCTCAGACCAGTACAAATGGCTCCAACTTTTGATTATCTCAAGAAGTATACCATGATCCTGGACTAGCGGGCCACCAACTCCCCGACCATAATGTTCAAGTGAACAAGGTCGGAAGCTTCAAACTAAGACATCTCGATCTTCTGTACCAAATCTAGTAGGGCAGTGTGCCACGCGGTCAGCCTACAAGGTGGTCTGGGTCATGATAATTAACTGCAATGGATTTTGATAGCGACGTGTTGGATGGCTCTTTTCCTTGTAGATGAGACATATAAGACCATGCACACAGTTGCCAACCAGATCTATAAACACCACATCTTTTATAACGTGCATCTTGTGCTGGGCAAGTGGCAGAAGTGCATGATCTGCGTGGGACTGAGGCGAACATGCAAGTAATGTTAGAATATTTGGTTGAAGAGGATGGAATGTGGAAGCCTGTCTTGTCTCATCGCCACAACAAGGGCACACATGGCGTGGTAAATGATAATATGAAGAAATGATTGAATATATAGGCTAGACTCACAACTAACCTATAGCCCTTCGCAATAACCATGGTGGTCGGTTCACAGCTGCAATGAACAGGCTGCGGAGAAATATCAAAAAAGCCTGAGCTCTACTTTGTATATGATTCTCGCTGTTGTATGCCCACGCTTCGTTCGAGACCGTTTTAAAATAGAATAAATTACTTATGTATGTAAGTTACTGGTAGTTAGATCATACGTTTTACCCATGAGGCAAGTCGTTCATACCAATACATCGTGAAGACAGCGAAAAATAAACCAAGTGCTTCCCAATATCAGACCTACAAATCAACCAAACATCAGATGCATAAATCAAGCTCCAAGCACTCCACGAGCCCATATACAAAAAGCTGCCAGTAATTGACGGCATATTCTAAGGAGAATGAGAAAGCCACACTGTGACCAGCACAGAGACTGGTGAGGCGCAATAGACAACGATGTTCTCCGTTTTTCACGGATTTTGAACTGATGCCTTTCGCTACCGGATACATGAAGAACTGTGATAATGAGCATCGCTACTCTCTCTGCTTTAATTGCTCATCATGCACAGCACCGGCCTGTTCCTTAGCCGGCTTTACTGCAGACACCTCTTCAGCATCTTTCAAGTTTTTGTTCTTCAGAGCTTCCGGAGCGTTCTGTTCTTCCCGTTCTGGGGCTTTCGAGGATTTATCTGTTTTCACTTCCTCAGCACTTTCAGCCTCGAGCTTCTTCGAATCGTCCGAGGCTTTCTGGTCTTTTGCTTCGGTTTCCATATCGTCGCGAACAAAAGCGTTATCGATATCCGACTCTGCTTTAGTATCCCGGAACAAAGTATTGACACGCTCTGACCGCTCAGCTTGTTCCTTCTCTTCCTTTTCGCGAGCTTTGCGCTCTTGCTCCATTTCCTCCATGTGTCGAAGATCATCGACACTAGGTTCGTAAAGATGCCAGATAGTATAATGTGGGAGACCGACAACGGAAAATCCCATGCGTTTGGCCATCTGCTTATACTTAGCAAGAAAAATGATGAAGGGGGTTGCACGCAGGTCTTACCTTGCCGAACGCTTCAGTCTCAGCATGCTTTTCGAAGCTGAATGCTGGGAAATGAACTCCAGCACGGAACACTTTTGCCTTTGCAAGGATACTAACGCCGCCAACGCCATCAAGCTCCATCTCCATATCAGGATCACCGTATGGGTCTCGAAGGTAGGCAAGATGAGGCCGCCACGTCGCATACTCAGCATATCCTTCAACAATAACTGCATCCTCATCCAGCGTCTCTGCCAGGGCCAGTGCAGTTTCCGACTCCTGCCAGGAGTTCAAATCATAGGGCTGTTCCCCACCCAGCCAGTCTGGGAGTGGCCGCCAGACATCTGATAGAAATATTATTAGATAAACAACCAGAGCCCGTAGAAAGCTTCACTCACTCGGTACAATGACATCCTTATCATGTCTCATTAGGTCTTCTATAATGGTGAATGGTGCCGTTTCTACATCGGCATCTCTCCAATAGACCCAGCTGTGAGTCGGTCGAAGCGTAGCACTTAACAGCCAATTTCTCGCCTGAGCCATCAACTTTCTCCGCCCAGCTTGTGCAGCGAACCCATGCCTACTCTCGACATCTTGTGTCACCTTCTGTCCGAAATCCTTATGGATAACCGAGATTTCACCAAACGGCATGTGCGGATCAGAATCGGCCTGAAGTTCCCCAAGCATGCTGGATAACATTTCTAGTGTATTATCCTTCGAATCCGAGACCAGAAAAGCTAAGTCGATTAAGTGGTGAGGGTAGGTGAGGTTTCGGAGATGCGAAAAGAACATCGGCAGGTGGGATGAGGCATCCCTAAGAGGTGTGCACATGAGCACACGCTCTTCTTTCTCCCATCCATCTGCGGTGCCCTGTACAGCTGATAGATCGTAATATCGTACAGTTTGTATCTGCAAGTCTTCCGTAGAAGAAAGAAGTCCAAGGGATACTACTGGGAGGATCGTGGCTCTCCAAGAAGGGAAGATTAGGACGAGGAGTAATAAAGAGACGCCACCAATCAGGAACAGCCGTTGAATAAGTTGCCTTCTTCGTCGCAGAGCAGGTTGTGAACGCGGTTGGAAGCTGGCGATCGACGGCGCAGAGTCAGCAAAACATCGTTAATTGGTGGGAAACATTAAGCGATATTGTGCATCGCCCATTCAAAAGGTTAATGAGTGGGATGCGATGGCGGCCGTTGCTTACCGGTGGGGAGAAATGGAAAATGTGCTGCCCTGCCCGCGAGGGTAGGCAGCATAGCCGTTGGTGAAGGCGTGATGCCTGTTCATCTCTCCAAAGCCAGTCGCATCAGTAGCTTGAAAATCGGTCCTGAAGACAAAGGAACCTTGGGGTTCCTAGATCTAAAGGAAACCACTGGCTTGACTTCCTGTTTCCCACCTAAGCCGATGCGACTGCGAGGCGGGAGGCGTAAGATTAACTGCACTACGGAGCGACAAAGGATCACAGACCCCTGGAGGAATTTCAAAGATATAATGAAATAAGGAAGGGAAAATGGCGACAAAAGAAGGGAAGGGAGATGTCAAGACTCGAAAAGGTCTATGTAGCATTAACTAAAGGTCGCCCGTCCAGAGCGTCGGAACCAAGCGTTTAGGTGGTTTCAGTGCAGTAGCGCCTGGGCGGTGATTCGCCTCCAAGTACAGAGAGACCCTTGTCGAGTTCTCTGCCCGTCATTACCGAATCCGGCGGTAGGCCAACTCCTGCCCGTTTGCAGACATGCAACCGTCTTCAATTCTTATCAGTACTACGATTAGTATCAAAGTTCCCTGGCACACCGATCCATACTTGGCAGCCTCATCGTGCTTTTATATCTATACCACCAATGATCTATTTACAGAAAACCGATCAAATCCCGATGCTCCCGATAACACTTGATAAGCAACGCATGAAAAAGAGCCCAACTCCGGAGAATGCTAACCATCGCTATCCAAGCCAAAAGAAATCGCATATACTAACTCGCCCATTCTCAATTGATCCGTGATATCCTGGACTGGGGAGACCCCATACCCTTGACACCGATCTCAATTTGTCCCATCAGCTTCTTAAGCAATGCCTCCATTTTAGGCGGGTCTCGAAGCACCGGAATGACGGATCCGGCCTCGTAGTCGTTGTCCAAGATATAATATCGCTCCCTTCCCCATTGCTCCACAGTATCTCTCTGGAATGCGACTTTTGTGATTACCTTGGCTGGGACACTAGGGTTATTAATGGCACTTTTAGAGAACACCCGCAGGAATGGCCGGAGTCCAGACCGCGTCTGGTGTGCCATTCGGACCGACCGAGGTGCGTTCTCCGTTAAATGGCTCTCTCCTGTCAATCCACCGGGATCCAGGGTAAATATGTTCAAGGGAATTTTGCCATTCTAAGAATTGAACCCTGGTTAATCGGGGCCCTCAAGGCAATGGCGAGATGTTGCAGGTCAACTTACGAGTACCAGACTCCGACGCAAGGCGTACATGGCCGCGCTCATGATTAATTTGCTACTTCCAAAGCGTGCATTCCCTTCCTTCGAGGACAATGGCGTCCCCGGTTGTTGATTTCCAAAATCATGTTTGTCGAAATAATCCAAAGAGCCTTTCGACATGGATGAGCAACCAACGTTGATCACCCTCACTCCGCCGTTTGGTGTTCCATCGCCCGCTCGGAACGCCTCCAGCAAACCGATGGTCAAGAGGAACGGAGCAATACAGTTGGTCTGGTAGACGGGATCGAATCCATCTCGTGTTACTTGGTCGGCGATGTAGGACGCAACAGCAGCGCAGTTAATCAGCAGTGTCACCGGAGGGATCTCTTTGTTTTGCACCCTTTCCACTGTATTCTCTGTAAAGCTGATGACGGAGTTGAAACTTGTCAGGTCCACTCTTGCTACTTCAATCGACCGGGGTCCGATCAAACGGATCTTGTCTCTCAGTTCTTTGACGCTATCGGAGCGGATATCCCGTGCCAGTAGTAGCAGATGCACAAAAGGCTGCGCTTTGGCGATGGCGATGGCTATTGAAGATCCAAGTGACCCATTTCCCCCAGTGATAATCGCTGTACCAGAAAGCGGAGTCGCCATGAGAGGATATTTCTTATTCGTGAATGCGTGAAATGATTATTATCCAAGAAAAAAACGAATCAAAAATAAAAATAAAAGCAGCGAGCGACGTAGTAAGTAAATATGTCAGCAGGGCATGCTTTGTAAATAATCTGAAACCCAGATGCGACCCACACACCCGACCGACAACTGAAAGAGCAATCTGAACAAGAAAAGGAGAATGAGAATTTAGAAGAAGAAAAAAAAAAGGTCAGATTATATTGAAGATGATTGACAAATTATACTAAAACTTGATTAGATCAAAGCATTGCGTCCCAACAAGGTACTAACCCCGGGGCCTGAAGCTCGCGTCAGCGAGAGTACAGCTTAGGGGCGAAGAAAAAAAGAAGGAAAGAAAAAAAAAGACTAATTCCAAGATCAGAGATTGATACGATGGAGTATTTCCAAGAGTCAAAGCGATCTGACCCGTCATTCAGACCCTTCGAGGCAATAGAGAAAGCCAACCGCGATGAAACTTCAAGTGGGGGAGAGTTCGGATGAGGTCCACTTGGGAGCAGTAAAAAAAAGAACCAGAGAAAAAGCAAAAAGTGGGTAGGTGAAAAGGCAACAAGAAAGAGCGTCCGCAAAGCCAGGAGACAATAAGCGGTTGGGCGATATTCCTTGTTGGCGTTATTAGAGCCTGGATTGTTGTCAAGTAAATCTTTGTATTGTATCCCAAAGACTTGGACGATGGTAAAGTAAGACGGGATCTGGATCGACTCATGCGGCTGATGGACCATTCAGATCTCTGGGAGACAGCGGATGAAAGTTTGTTCTCGACGGTGGTGGAGGCAAAATGAGCAGCCAAGATGTGTCACGACGGTGTACATCAACGACGTGGTGAGACTTCTGTTGCACTGGTGTCTTGGTTTTAATTCCATTGACTTCCGTCTACGAGTCAGTATTTCGTTTTCAGCACCAAAGAGGACGTACGCAATGTCGCCATACTCCGTAGACTCACTCCATGGAGTAACGTTACTTTTCTCCTTTCCCTCCTCCCCCTTTAATGCACTGCCCCCGTCTCCCACTTGAGTGAATTTTGTTACTACTAATATAGGCTATCTCAGAAGTCCCCATCAACTACCGACAGAGTAGGGAGTAGTATACAACACATCAACTCGGATCTATCTATAGAATCCCGCAAGTGGCGTTCCGTTACTACCGACGAACGAATGAACGCCTGTTCATCCTGCAGCCACAACAACCGCTACTTAGCCCTTACCTAGTCCCAATCGTGTCTCATCCCGGAACCGAACCGTAAAATTCACGACCAAGCTAGAAGAAAGATTCCCCCTAAGCTGCATAGCTTACCTACTAGCGATCTCCCCTGCCCATTTTTAAGTGGTTTTTCGGCCAACAATATACCCGGATGGCGGTGTCCCCCTCTCCAATTGGACAGACCCGGCTTAACCCTGAGGTTATTTCGACCTGAGGAACTTCAAGCGATGGTTTAGTTCGGGGGCTAGAATTCTTTCCAAAAGTACTGTCAGCCGATGATACCTTTCCTAAACTTGTTCGGTACTTGTTATTTGACTAATGTGGCTGGGCCATTGGAAATAAAAAAAAATGGTGTCATTTATGCAGTAAGAGAGGGGACCTTCTGGTTCCGGGGCCTTGGGCCAGACTGAGCCCTTGCTGTCGTGCTTGTCACGTTCATTGGTGTGGTTTTGAATTCGTATGTCTTGGTCTTCGTATCGAAACACGTGTTTGCTTATACTGCGTTGTTCAGATATAATATCACCGCCGCTAGTATCCTGTTGTGGGTTTCTTGCTGACATTGTGTGCTTGTGAATCGTAGTACTATGGGTAGGTGCTAGTAGGGCTGACTTGTTTCCTTTCTTTTGCCTCCTTTCTTCCGGTTTCTGCAGGTCTGGATTCGTGAGGTGGGCTGAGTGGGGAGCTGAAGAACGTGCAAGGGTGTACCATGCTCCGTCCAGGATACCGACCCAATTCGGTAAATGGCTTGCGTCGGAGAAATTGCGATTCCAGCTCGTGATGGTTTGGATTCGAATTGTAGCTTGACTTGCGCATACTATCTGGAATTCTGGATATCTACAATGTGGGAGACCTTCCTCGCTGACATGACCCCGAATAGATCAGGCGGATACATCGATTAAAATCTTGACATGCTTATCCCGCTCATTAATCAACGCCTCGAACCCCTTTTCTACAATCTCCTCCATACGGATCTTACTAGTGATCATAGAATGGGGCTTAAGCTTGCCTGTCCTGCAATGTCAGCAATCTAAACAAGAACGTGGGAGCAAACATTGGCATAGTGCCCACATACCCGATGCGATGGCATCAATAACAGCCTCAAAATCGTCACCATCAAAAATCGCCGACCCGATGATGTGCTTCTCCGACCCAACCAGCTCCCACGCATCAATCACCGGCTTCTGTTCCCACAGTGACACGACCGTCACCGTGCCTCGGGCTCGGACCCCCTTCAGTGCAGTATCGAACCCGGCTTGCACGCCGGAACATTCGAAGGCGATGTCTGCCCCCGCGTCGCACGACAGCGAACGCACTCTCGCCTCGATGTCTTCCGTTCGCGGGTCCAGCACGTCCGTGGCGCCCAGGGTCTCGGCGAATCGGCGTCGCTGCGCTGACACCTCGGCTACTACTATGGATTCGATGCCGTGGGCCTGAAGTACTTGCACAATGGCGAGTCCGATGGGGCCTCCCCCGACCACGAGGGCAGTGCGAGCTGTTGCCACAGGGCTGCGCGTCACGGCGTGCCAGGCTACGGTGAGAGGCTCGACGAGGGCTACATACATCCTTAGCTTAACACCCAGTCTATAACATAAGATATCTATACTTACCTCCGAGATCAAGCGGGATCTCATTCGGTAACAGTCTTGCCCGTTCTTCCTGCACAACGACATGGTCCGATAGACCCCCGGAATTACCTATTACTCATTCATCAGCGAGGAGTCAACGGTGGCATCGAGTAACAGTGTAGCTCAAAGGAAAAGAAATAAAAATGCCCCACAAACTCACTGCTATATCCAATAAACCCCAAGTTCCGACAACAGTTCACCCTCCCTTGCACACAGCGCGCACAAGTCCCGTCATACAGGTTCGGCTTGACAGCCACGCGATCCCCGACTTTCACTCGCGTAACGCCTGCCCCGACTTCCTCAATTGTGCCACTAAACTCGTGGCCTAGCGTTACGGGAAGTGTTGCGTTGGTGATTGGGTGCGGGGTTTGGGGGACGGTTGAGGGGCCGGCGAGGTACTCGTGGAGATCTAGGTTGAATCAGATAGGTGCTTCTCTTTCCCACTAGATATGATGGAAGGGCTAGGCGTCTATATCATGGGAGTGTAGTACGTACCGCTTCCGCAGATACCAACGAAAGCAGGTCGGATCTGGTTTTCTGTTAGTTCGTGGGAATGATGTTGGGTATGAATTGATCGTGTTGGTGTGTGATTTTCACCTTCACTTGGTCATTTTGACAGACGGGCTCTTCGATCTGGTCAATGCGGATGTCACCGCGTCCGTGGAAGCGAACGGCTCGCATTATGAACTATGCAATTCGATGTGGAGGAGGGCTGATCAATAGGGGTTGTATCTGGTTCTCACGGTGCGGTCCTCAGATATGTTACATATATAACTTTCATGGATTGTCGAAAGGAAATGGGGGTTCGGGATAACATGGGGTATTTCCGGATCTAGAGGCGCTTCTCCGCTACTGAGATGTGGAGGAGTCTGCGGGGCAGAAGTGGGATTGATCTCGAAGATGCGATTATTTGGGAGATACGGCGTAACAGTAGTAGCACCTTAGTGGTATATGTACATTCGCGGAGAAGTAAGTTACAATGAAAGATTGGAAGACTGAAGTCACGTTAAACATTGTTGCTTTTACTGCCATACTATGCACGCAAGTAATTTTATATCCATACCATTCATAAATAATTGACGGACTTTCTGATCTAGAACTGTGCTCGGTGTTGTTTCTCTCTTTCTTTTTGATCTTGATATATGTAGTGGTAATTCTCCTTTACCGAACGGTAGCTCCCTTCAGGCTCTTGACAGTGCAAACGCCTCCCTGGGTAACAAGTTTGCCCAGGGCAGGCTTGCCTTCCAGGCCCTGCACAGCAGGGACAGCGCTAGCCTCGAAAGCAACCTCGAGGTCATCGGTAGTTGTGAATCCGGGCTGGTAGGTCTCCCAGACCTTCTTCTTGGGGTTGAGCACCTTCTCGGGCTCAGCGTCGTTCCAGCCCTCAAAGTACACCCGGGATCCGGCCGGGGCATCAGCAGGAGGAGTAACGAGCTCAACAGGACCAGCGTGGGAGTCCTCGCCTTCTGCGACACGGGGGGAGGCTGCGAGAACCATGGCTGCGGACTTGATTCCACGCATGGTGACGGGCTTAAGGTTGCAGACGGCGATGATCTTACGGCCTTGCATTTCCTCCAGAGGAACAAGTCCGTTCAGACCCGAGCACACGGTACGGACAGTCTTGCCAGTAGCCTCATCCAAAGAAGTGTTATCAGAGCCGGGGGCATCACCGCAGTCAATAGTCGAAACGTAGAGGGAGTCGGCATTGGGGTGGTTGATGGCGCGAAGAATGTGGCCAACACGGAGGTCGATGGCGCATGGAGAAGGGGGGGCAGCGGGAGCGGGAGCAGGCTTAGCCTTAGGCTGCTTCTCCTTCTTTTCCTTCTTCTCCTTCTTGGGCTTGCCCTCAGCTGCAGGGGCTGCTTGCTCCTTAGCAGCTTCGGGCTTACCCTTTCCAACGACGAGGGGCTTGCCCTCAGCCGGAGCGCCGGCATTCTGGGCAGCAGCCTTCTCCTTCTTCTTGCGCTCCTTCTCTTCCTTAGGGTCCACGGGCTTGGGCACGAAGCGCACATCATTCACATCAATGGCAATCTTTTCCTCCTCGGGAATCCGGAGTGCGAACAACCGGCTGTTCTGTACGAAATCAATGTGACGCACAATGTGATGGTAGCCCTGCTCGCCGGTACGCTCCTCCGGGCTCCATTTCTCCACTAGAGGGGCCAGAAGAGCGTACGCCGCGATATCAGCAACGGAAGGCTTTGACCCGAGAATGGTGGTGCGCGCGGCCAAGTGACCATTCAGCTGTCCGAGGATGGTTGTGACGACGGGCTTCTCATCCTTGGTAAGAGCACCCTGGAGGCCAGAGATCGTTCCCAGCCATTGCTTAATGTCGGCCTCTTCCGGGGCGGAGAAGGTGGTCTGTGGGAAAATCTTGGGCGAGACGGTCAAAAGATCGGTCTCGGTGGCATCGGGAGAGACAGCGGTGGGGTAAGAGCGGTAGATGAGGGAAAGGAGGGAGGACTCAGGAGCGGAGTTGATAGCCATTTTTGCGAATGGGCGGACGCGAGACAAGGGAAAAGATGAAGTGGTGGGCGGACGAGGAGGGGCAACAGAAATGATTCCCAAATGCAGTCCCAAAGGTCGAACCAACCGCGGGGTTCTTCTTGCGGCCCGCAGAAGGGTCACGCCAGGCTTAAAGGGAGACAACTTGACTTATTTCCACCAAGATCCCAGACAATGGGGATCTTTTCAATACGTAAAGGGTATTCTTTAAATGATATTCATGAATCTAATCTAGTTGGAAAGAATACAACACGCGATGTCCTTCTTGAATTGTACTTGCGAGCTGTTCAAGGGCGTGTTTTTTTCTTTTCATTTTTTCTGCTGCTTCTCGAGCTCCTAACCAGATTCGGTTAGGAGTTTAATACATGACTCAGCATTCCAAAACAGCGTTTATTTAAGCATACTATTTAATCTTCGATTCACGATGATAGTATCCGTACTCCGTTCTTGGTGTAGATCCTCTTAACCCTTCTCAACTTTAATCGATTATTCGGGGATGACATACTACTTCTTATGGGCAACGGACATCATCCGCAATTGGGCAGTGTTTGGCTTCCATTGGTCCATAATCTGATCTTATCTCGGGTCTAACCCGCTGATAAAGAAAGAGAATATTTGTATACGGAAATGTTATATTCTATACTCTATCTGCCAATACTTGTCGATTAATGTGACCAAAAGCCAACATATCCGAACTATTTTGGAGTTGCAACTCCCAGGGAAGGTCCCCGCATGTCGAAGACCACAAAGAAGGCCTTCAGGAACACATCGCCGAGGATTTGCATCGAGGACCCTTGGTTAGATTGAACACCTCCGAAGCAAACTAAGACTTGTCAGCAATAATTCGACAGAATTTGAAATATGAGAGCTCACCCTTTCCGCCGGTCGTCTTGTTAATACCAACCTCGGAGAAATTGATCAGGTTGCCTGGAACGGTCGCCAGATGCTTAGATCCTATCGCAACTGAAATACTAGGAAGCGAGGCATTGCAGGGATAAATGTAACCGCTAGCGCTGCTGGCAAAAATTGCACCTTCAATCTTTGCATAGTAGGCGTCCACCACTTCCTGGCTGAGCAGCATAAGCGAGGTTCCGGTATCCGCAATGGCAGTAGGGTTTTCTTTGATGTTTTGTATATCTCCATCCGCAATAGCAAACTTCGCCAATTCGAACTGCCAAAATCCATTGGAGGAGTCCACGCTCACATTTGCGATGTCGCCCTGGTACTTGTCGTGATCAAGTATGCCGAATTCGTACTCGCCAACGCCGTTGGCTTTGAGGGACGCTGTCAGAACAGGCTCCTGCAAACTATCGGCGATGTTATCGAAAAAGGTTTTCTGCTGCTTAGGCTTGACAGTGTTGAGGGATGAGAATCCCAGTCCCACTAAACCGTTTGAAGTGGCGTCTTCAATGAAAGCGCTGGATACCGTATCCGGAATGCCAATGGCTTGGTCTTTGACAATGGCCCCCCCAACATTGACAATATCCGTACCCACACCACCGTACGCATACGAGGCATCGCCGTAAGAGATGTTGAAAGTAGCTCCCTCCATTTTCTTGAATGTAGAAGAGTTGGAAGGGTTATACACTGTACGGCCCATTTGAGCTTCTTTTGGGAGCTCCGTATTCATCACCCAACTGTAGATCAACTGTCAACGGCTAGAACCAACAGGTTTTTAAGGAACTGCACTTACAAGTCGGCAGAGCCAGTGTCAAAGTTTAGGACAAGTTTTTGACCACCGATGGTGACGGGAGAGACAAATGCAGCATCGCCCAGGACTGAGGCGGCACTGACAGCACCCTTTTGGTCCGGCTCGGTGACATCTTTCTTCGCAACGACAGCGCTCTTTGCCGCTATGGGTTCGAAATCATCCAAATCAATCCCAAGGTCCGTTGGCACAATACCAAATTTCTCGTATGCTCGGCGCAAAGCTGTTGGGCCATGGACAGGCTCATTTCCGCGCCGTACCCGCTCTACCTTAAAGGACCTGCCTTTAAGTTGAGATTTTGAGCCCGATGGAAGCGAAAGCACGCCGCAGGCGAGAGACAAGGTAATCAAAAAAGACAGAAGAAATCTCATGGTGGCGATCCTGTGCTGCTTCTGAGGTTGTAATGAGTGATATTAAGCCTCTGCTGGAGGGGCTAGAAAAATGATGTTTCTTTACAAAGAAAGAGTATATGAATGAAACGAAGGTATATACCAGGGCCAAGTGCCTGACTTGGACGCCTGTATATCAGAAAACAAAGCTGAGAGAAGAAAGGCCGGTCTTGCAAGCAAGGCACTAGGGGCTGAATTAGAATGGTTTAGTTGGATATCTAAGAAAGAGAGCAATTAAAAAGTAAACCGTACAAAAATGGGAAGAAGGGGAAGGTGAAAGAAAAAAAAATGACAGCAAAGGCATGGACTTCAGAAGCAGCCAGATGGAGCCATTTTCGAGATATACTACGGAGCACTTTGTGTGTAATCGTCCAAGACTTCTGAGACGCTTATATGGTCCACTCATAGGGGCCAATAGACCATCCATCGTTCTACTGGAAGGCTTGGAAGCATCCTATACTGGATCCACTCGAAGGCGAGTCCAAGAATTGAATGGCATGAAAGGAGCCAATCCACAGCGACGTGACGTTAGCTGTAGGGAGGGGACGGTCTTGGTACCTCGCTCGTTAGTCAATATGGCTGACACAGTGGTTTGACGGGTCAGTGTTTGGATTGGCATGGCAAACCTTAGGCATTGCGGCTGTGGATATCACAGCCGCGGCAGCCACTCAAGGCTTGGGAAGCTAAAGCACGGAGGTAAGGTTTTTGAAACACCCGAACTGCTAACCCACCAGCGGCAAACTTCACAACCAATCAGCTTCTCCAAGTATTGTTTCAGCTTGTCCACCTGAAGCAACGTTGCCTCCAACGGTCTGGCCATTCACAGCGGTGTCGGCAATCGAGTCACTCTTACACCAGTACACTTGAGGTCCCATAAGACGCGGTACGGACAGGGATAATTTTTCCCCAGAAAGACTCATGGAAACATACGATTGGCTTTTTGTTAATGCTGGGGAATAGTCGCTTGAAGTTCCACAGACATGATTGGCTTTTCACAAAATCTGATAGGTACAATCTAGCGCTTTTGGACACGGAGAGATCTCGACTGGCCGAGACCCAAGACTACTCCGAAGCCCTACTTATCTGCCTGCGTACCACATAGATTGCGTCAACATTGTGGATAAAATCTGCAGCCATGAATAGCGGACAGTCCTTTTCGAAGACCTGTCCAATCAACGGTCGCTAGGATTTAGACACCAAAGACGAGTTGATTCCCGTTTCTTACTCACAAGGAAGCTTGGGAGAAGTTAAGAAGTGAAATTTCACTTTCTAACCAGGGCCAAGAACTATCTATAGTTTGGGTAACGTCGATCAACAGGGTGCCCAATTTATACATAACAATTTTGCCAGTATAGTCATGCTTGGCAGTGCCGATTCTCTCCTCATAAGGTAGGTGGCAGCCCTGAGAAATCCCTGGTGGAGCATCATGGGGTGGATTAGGGACGGGACCGACTTGTCCCTCGATTTCAGCGCTGCGCATTTTTAAGGCTTGGCCCTTGACCGTGTACAACGTACTCTACGGCACGATACAAGCTGGGAGCGCCGGTCGCCGCCACTGGTCTGGAAGCTGATGCTCTCGAAGCAAAACGCAGTAACTAGTTAACTACTCATGTTAATTTGATAACCTCGAATGATTTGCAGTGGTATCAATCGTTTGTATGCCAGAAACGCCAAAGTCTCGAAGAGTTTTAACCCCCAATGCAACCACGCTTGAAAACAAAGATGACCCGAAAGGAGAAAATGCAATCATCACTCTACTGTATCATCTGGTAGCACAGTATCAGGGTTTTCTCCAACCAACTGTCCAACCGCGCGCACCACCTGCTTGATAGCCTTCGCCGCCGGGCTATCAGGGAAGCCATCTACAAAGCTTTCACCGTAATCACAGGCCATTCCGATTCTGGGATCGAGAGGGACTGCCCCTAGGAATGGGATGCCCATCTTCTTCGCTAACCGCTTACCACCGCCCGTCGTAGCCCGGAAAATCTGGCTTTCAGTGTTGCAGTTCTTGCAGACAAAGCCACTCATGTTCTCAACTAACCCCAAAACTCGAATACCGGCTTTGCGGCAGAAGTCAATCTCTTTCCTAACATCTAATAGAGATACCTCCTGCGGTGTAGTGACAACGACAGCACCGTCAACTCCCGAATCCTTTAGGAGAGAGTTGACGGACAGATGCTCATCCGAGGTGCCCGGTGGAGTGTCGATGATGAGATAGTCCAGCTCACCCCAGTCCACATCCTTCAGGAACTGTTTGATCAGACCATTCTTCTTTGGTCCTCTCCAGATTACTGCATCGTCCCGATTGGGCAGCATGAACTGCACGCTCATTGCGCCTAGGTTGTCGGTCACCCACACCGGACTCCAGCCTGCGTTGCTCACGTGGATTGTCTCCGATTCCACCCCCATTAGCTTTGGAATCGAAGGTCCAGTGATATCGGTGTCCATCAAGCCAACCATCGAGTCGGGGTTCGCTGAAAACGCATGGGCGAGAAGAGAGGAAAAGGTTGACTTGCCAACCCCACCTTTCCCCGATAACACAAGGATCTTGTGCCGGACCTGGGAGAGCCTCTCTTGGATGATAGGAATATCGGGGTCGGGACCTTTCGGGGCAGAAGCACAAATCTGTTGATTGGGGCATCCAGCGCAGGCATCACCTTGACCTGCCTGCTCCGACTCAGGGCCAGGGCAGTGCTCTGGAGCTGATTAGTAAAACATAGGGAAAGATTACCTCCGCTCGAAGAAGCACAAACATACCTGGCTCTGGAGCAACTAGACTCGGCGACATCATGTAATATTCTCCCCCCAACTATTACTCTAATATAGAAAAAAAAGGATATGAAGAACTTGTGCAAACGCAGCTTTTGATGGAAACTTAGATCAAAGTGGCGGAAGAAATGCTTGATAATCGGGTTTGATTAGATAAGGTTACTAGCTTACAAACCCTCCAGTAGCGATTGGGTATCTCTACGTGCGGTGTCGGAGTCTTCAGTAGTAGCGATATCATAAACCCTCAATGAATTCCCTTCGATAATATACAAGTAATTAAAATGACTGAGCAATGATTCCTTCATTGACGATGCAACGCTCGTTGTGAACTTCGGAAAGAGCGGGTGACATGGATTCCGGGATGTGACATGATACATCCGATCCTCCACGAGTGGATGAGGGGTAGAGAGGGGCAGAATCCCAAGACTGCGAGAAACTGAATATGTTCCTGACAAAAAAGGAAACTAAACAAGGAGGGTGGGGGCCTACTACATGAGATATTCTACACAGAACTAGTAGTACTCAATACAGCATACCTCACACTATAACGAAATAATTCCAGTTATATTTCTAGCCAGGCTTTAGTTATAAGTCATTAGGTTTTAGTAATCGTTACCTAGCGGTATGTAGCGCGATGTCTGAAGTACTTTCTTGCAAAAGATAAACTCCTTTATCTGATCTGACATCCGTGGATCAATGTCAGGTATCCTCTACAGGAACTACCCTCGATATCCTATTGACCAGCCAACAGGGACAACTGGGGATATATCCTACGGGAAAGACACCATGCTACTAGGACTTACCAACTGCATGCGGAGGAAACCTTTAGTCTAACTCGAATTACGTTGGTTTTGATGACGATCTCTTTGGACTACGTTTATTCCCTCGGAATGCAGGCCTCCGCTAAAGCGATATGCAATGGAACTAACGACGTCCGATATGTGAAAGAAATAGCCGGTTGACTCGAATACGGTATATCTGAGAGAGGGGTGAAATGCAATGTCAGAACCTAAAAGAGCCCAGTCAACCTCCATGATATCATCGCCAGGCTATCCCGGTGGCCCAATAAACAAGGAACCAGACCCCAACGGTTAGATCTTGAAGAATGCGAGGCAGAGTATCGCTCACTGTCAGCGGAAGGAACCCAATCCCTCTGTCTTCAAGTTCCCATCGCATTGCCATCCATACTTGAAGTGCAGAATGCATGCATATGTAGGTGCATGATAATTCTCATGCACACAGACACATCTCAACATATATCCGGATGCACATATAGATGTAGTTAATATAAATTAATAAAGAAAAGGCAAGATTCAGAACGCAAAGCCTCTTTGTCTTGTTCCTGTTCCAGCCCTCCAGACAGCACCTGCTACGTCCGTGCTTGCATAAGGAGGTGCATACGCATATGCAGCTATCCATGTCCTGGATTATAATACGCCAACATCTCGTAGGTAATATTTCCATTAATGCGAAAAAGAGTTGTATCCAGTGAGAAACACTACAGGATTGGTGGTATCCGCAGTTACCGCACCAGGTTATAATCCAGTGGATCGGCCTCCTACCACGTACACAGTACATGGATTGATGTTGTGTGGAACAGATTAGGTGAGGATCTACCGTGGAGGAGAACGTGATGCTTGACCATACATTGGCTGAGGACAATACCACTTGACACCTACAATGTCTAGAGTCTAGATAACCATGCGACCAGTTACCAATTTACTGAATTAATGCCAAGCCTTCACAGGCATCTTGTTGAGCATTTAGAGGGTGGTCTAGAAAAAATTAAACAGGAACATATCTAACGGGAAAAGGGAAAGGGTGTCAGGGTTCACGGGATCCCAATGGTGTACGGGAAGCGACGGTCATTCTTCCCCATTCCGGGCCATTCTGCCCTTGCCAACTGGAACCCGCACCACCGTCATGATTGGCCTTGCCTGGCCACTAACCACTGCTGTTGCTTTCCCCAGTCCACGAGTTCCACTTCTGCCATTTTGCTATGGATCGAGGCGCTGCTCCCTGGTGCTGTCTTGCGCACTCTTGTCTCAACGTTTCGCTAAAGGAATAAATTGGAACAATTTGCCAACTCCCTCACAAGAAAAAAAAAACCTCTCTTCTCTCCAAATCTTCCCATACGACCCAATTCTTCACCTTTTGCTCACACCCTGGTTTATGTGTTCTAACTACAGCAACAATTGACCTTACCTAACTACTACTACACTGGAAAGCACGGTGGAGCTGCGCCTCACATGACGCAGACCAATCATAGACATAAATAAACCCGCCCTGCTCCCTCTCACATGCTTTTGCCCCTACACTGGAACGCTCGCCGCTCTTTCAACATTTTGTTCTGCTGAGTCTCAATCATGGATCGTGGACTTTCAACAAGCACCCGAATCGATGATGAAGGCCTTCGGGAGAGGAATGTGGCCTCTCAGTCCATCTCGACTCTTAGTCCCGAGGCTCTTACGGCCACCGGTGACGTAGAGCTCAAGGACAAGGCTGGTAAGGACTGCAAGACATTTGGTCGGACACCTGATGGTACCGGTACGTGGTTTTCTCAAGATTCGATCCCTATTATATGCATTGGTTACATACCCTTATTGGGTATGCGCGATTGTTGTTGTGCGCCTGTCATCGCGGATAGATAAGCTAACTCGTGCCCCTCGACAGTATTCACGGTGCCGCAAACTCATGACATGGTCTCTCAACTCCTGTCGCCCTCGGAACCAAAAAATCTTTCTGACGTGATTGTTCTCGCAATCCTTGGTGCTCACATATTTCTTCTATGGCAGCTTCCTACCGGTGCCAAGGTGCCTGTTTTTGCCATTATCTACCTTTTCTGGCGTTCGGCATACAACGCTGGAATTGGATGGCTTCTTCACAATCAATCTCACCACAAAACACTGGTCCGCTGGGCTGAGAAAACCAAGGTCTTTGTGAATCCCGCTACGGGCAAGAACCCACATCCTAACCTGTACAACTTTTTTAAACGGGAGCTGGAAACTAAGATCCCCAACGACTATTCATTCGATAAAGCCCCAATTGAGTATAACACATGGCTCGTTTTTAGACGGCTTGTGGATCTGATACTAATGTGCGACTTCGTGTCATACTGTCTTTTTGCGATAGCTTGTAGTCACCACCCTGTCAACGAGAGCGTGTTGATGACTGTCTTGCGATGGTCCGCCGGCATCGTGTTGGTGCTGTTCAACCTTTGGGTCAAGCTCGACGCTCATCGGGTGGTAAAGGATTTCGCTTGGTACTGGGGCGATTTCTTTTATCTCATTGACCAGGAACTTACGTTCGACGGCGTCTTCGAGATGGCACCCCATCCAATGTATTCGGTTGGCTACGCTGGCTATTACGGTATCTCCCTGATGGCCGCGAGCTACAAAGTGCTTTTCATTTCTATAATCGCCCATGCGGCCCAATTCGCTTTCCTAGTGCTTGTCGAGAACCCACATATTGACAAGACGTACAATCCTCCTCCGTCCCGCAAGCGTCCAGCAGAGCAGGAAACTGGATCTGTCTCGAGCCGCACTACCGATTCTCCCATTGCGCCAGCGCCAGTTGATGAACAAATTCCCCACGCGCCAACCCTTTCAAGCAGCCCACCGCAGTCAGTCCACAATCTACTAGGGCTCCACAACCTGGACCTGTATCGGATAACGGATACTTCATCCGTCCTTATCCAATTCCTCGTATTCGCTCTCACAGTTTTGACACCCTCTACACCTTGGTACCAATTTCTTTTCGTAGCTAATGCTGCTGTATGGAGACTTTGGTTCTCGATCGGTGTTGGGTATATGCTCCATCGCCAGTCGAATCACAAGGCGTGGACCCGGCACTTCGTTAAGTATGGTGAAACTCCTCAGGAAGCATGGAATCAGTGGAAAGGCACATATCATTTGAGTATGATCATGTGCTATGCCAGTTTCATTGCTGCAGTATGGAAGATGTACAACTTTCCTGCTGACTGGGGGTATGGCCTGGTCTTGCTCCGCCATGTCTTGGGAGCCGGCCTCATTAGTTTACAGATTTGGACCTCGGTCAGCATCTATGAGTCTCTCGGTGAATTCGGCTGGTTCTACGGTGACTTTTTCTTTGATGGCTCATCAAAGTTGACGTATAATGGTATCTATCGTTTCTTGAACAACCCTGAGCGTGTACTAGGTCTGGCCGGCGTCTGGGGTGCAGTCCTTATCACCAGCAGCGGTGCCATAACGTTCCTGGCACTTCTCAGCCACATTCTCAGCCTAGCTTTCATCCAATTTATCGAGCGTCCGCATATGCAGAAGCTGTATGGCCAGAGTCTTCGACAGGATGCGGGGCTTGTTAAGAGCTTGAAAAAGTCGCTGCCACCAACTCTTAGACAGCTACACGGCAGCGTGGATAAGATCTTCGACGAGTCGTTCGAATTCATCGAAGAGATTATCGAGACGGCACGACCGAAACTTGCTAATGGTGTCAACACATTCGTGAAGGATACCACTGCACTCTTCCAAAATTACCCCGCCCGTGTCACCATCTCACGCATTGACGAAGATCTGGCCGGATATGATTCGCAGGACTATTCCCTAGAAGTTGAAGGCACCGATTCATCCTCTTTGGCCGAGTATGATCAAAGCACTGGTAGGGAGGGCGCTAACGCTCGCATGCCTCTTGATAGACGTGGTGACCTGAAGAACCTCGTGTTCGAATATGGTGCGCCGATTCAGGTCAAGTGGACTGCACCTTTAAATCATAGCAAGAAGGATTGGATTGGCTTGTACAAGGTCACCGATAATACGTCTCGTGAAGTCAGCCGGGTTTCCTCTCAAGGAAGGTGGATTGCCGTCAATGAAGGTGCCTATGATAACTTGACATGTGAAAAGGGAATTGTTAAAAGCGATATTGTAATCAAAGCTGCACCGCAACAGGATGGGGACAAGCGTGATCTTGCAACTGGCGAGGTTATATTCTCAGGTGATAAACTCTTTTGGACACAAGGCGTCTTCGAATTCCGGTATCATCATAACGCCAAGCATAATGTCATGGCAATCTCCAGACCGTTTGAGATTTGCATTAGCCGATATGAAGAGGAGGATGACCATGAACTTACACAAGCGTCCGTGGAGAGGAGCCTGTTACCCATCATCCGCAACTGCTTCGATCGGGATCCGGAGATCGCTCCGGAGGCCGTAGACGAGTCGTTCGGAAGCCTGGTGGATCGCGATGGTAAATTTGCTAAGCGAGTTGTGTTCGCCGTACACCAAATGTGAGTATTCTTTCACCTGTATAGCGATTTTTCTTCGCACACATACTAAGTTTTTGCCACAGGTTTGGTGTTGAATTCGCACCTGGAGTTGTTCAGGCTGATGGAACTGTCCACAACCTCGCCTGGAGGGTATGCAATGCAAAGAGGGTCCTGGTATGCATATATATATATATCTCTCTCTCTCCCAAATATTGCTGTTTAATCACTAACTTTTTGTCTTCTACAGGCTCCTTACAGCATGTCAAGGAACGGTGCGTCAACCCCGACTGAGAGGAAAGAGTAAGGTGTAAGAAAATACTCAGTGAGCCTCTAATCAACGATATGATATGCTTGATATGGGCCACGACAAACTTTTAGACATAGTTATGTCATGTCTACCTACGATTATTTCTCAGAAGACGCCTCTGCTTAAGGTTTATAGCAGTGAGGTAACATCATCAAAAGAAAGAGAATGGGCTGAGAAGCAATGGTGGTAAAGGAAGCGAGTGGAAAGGCTTGCCTACTTTTTCTGCATCCACGATGTAGTATTTAGTTATGCACTCTTAGTCCCGTACATATTGTGAAAATAAAATAGTACTAGTTTCCCTTACGACTAACGAGTCTACTGCAATAGATACAATGGATTGGAAAAATCTCGACGAAGCAATTGCATTATTTCTGCTAAATCTGGCCAACACATTTGTGTCTATATAGTTGTCCGGCACAAGTCTACAATCTGTCCAACTGTCAGCACAATGTGCTATCAAGAAGCGCAGTGTGTAATCATAAGAAACTACCCGATATACAAGGCAGTTGTAACGGATTGATCAGCCAAGCCGGTTAATTCATCCCATCCCCTGCCAATCGCTACCCCTCTCCAAGCCGTCAAAACGAACAGCAAGTGGAGGCATAGAAACAGACACAAGTCAAGCATAGCATACAAGACCAACAGAGACAGCGCGGATATACAACGATGAGCCCACTATCCGAAACTCCACAACCTTCCTCCCAGTCGTCACACCGTCTTTCGACGGCAGACAAATGGTCCAGTATCAGGGAGATGGATGGATGGATCATTGTATTAAACACTGCATGTTGATCGACGCAAGCTCGAGGGGAGATTCTCCAATGGAGATCATTGAATGGATTGACTAGTTGTCATCATAATGGTTGGGTGGTGGGTGTGTTTATGTGTGGTAAAGTTTTGCATACCTACTGGTTGTGTTGCTTTGTAGAGATGATGTGTAATACCTGTTATGGTACTTGAAGCTGTCAGCAAGTTGTTTCATGGAAACGTTGAATATATGACAATGTGTGAAGCTTCCAATGAAATCAGAAGGTTTGGTATGGTTTAGTTTTCTTCAATGTATTTGCAGAAGCAGAACTGAATAAAACTTTGTTTCATCACGGAAAGAATTTAGAAGAAAAAATTTTCAAAACATACCTTGTTAGTTTCAGATTCTGTGGGAGAATTCTGTTGCATAGTCCTGTCTAAACATTCAATGAGCATATAGCCAAGCATGTTGATCATAACAAAATGATTGTGTGAGATTATTGTCAGATGGTAGTGCATGTTGTTCAATGGCCCATTCGTTTGTCGCCGAACAGAAATTTTGGATAGTTTTCCTCATACAAAATGTGGTAGGATGTTGTAGACTGGATTGGAGACTCACAAATAAGAATGTTAGTACCGAGATACTATTGTTGCATCACGATGATCAAATGTTTAGACAAGACCACATCATTAAGCAGAAAACCTGTCGGTTGTTTGTGTGGGAAAGTAAGAAAGGAAGAAAGAGAAGAAGAGAAACGAAGAAGGGTAGAAAAAGGAAGGAAAAATTGGCGTCGACTCCACTTGCGCTACGCAGGCAAACAGAACAAACATCCCTCCAAAATTGTAGATTTCCGTTTCTGGGCTTCGAAACCAAGCTGACTTCAAGTCTTCAGCCTCAACGACGTATTTGCTCGTCGCATCCCTCATCAATTATTCCACTGGATGCCAAGTAATGTGTAATGACTGACCGAAGAAGAATCAATGGGCCGCCTAGCGGCACGAGGCCTGCAGTCTTTGCCTCGTCTCTAAACTCCGCCTCCGACATTGCGACTAGCCGACCACAACGTCAGAGGCAACCCAATGAGTTGCGGAAAATCTGTAAGATATATTACCCCTCTGCAACGGTGTATGTAGTGTTTGGACTCACATGGATTAAACTTAGTCTTGAAAACCGGCCTCATTCCTTCTGCTTCTGGATCCGCCTATCTTGAATATGAACCTTCGTCTTCTCTCGCCGCCGCACGCTCGTCACCCAAGTCTCTCATTCCCCCCTCCTCGGCATTGAAACTTGCCTGCACAGTCCATGGGCCGAAACCGCTCCCTCGCTCTGCTACATTCTCCCCCAACCTAGTTCTCACAACTCACATCAAATATGCTCCGTTCGCCGCCCGTAAGAGGAAAGGACATATCCGCGATGCCAGCGAACGTGATCTTGGAGTACACCTAGAGACCGCCCTGAGAGGGGTGATTGTCGCTGAGCGGTGGCCGAAGAGTGGACTGGATATCACTATCACCATCTTAGAAGCAGAAGATGATCGTTGGTGGGGCGATGCGCCCGACTCTCATGATGCTCCATGGGGGATGATGAACGTTCTTGCCGGATGTATTACAGCTGCGTCTGCTGCCATCTCTGACGCTCGCATTGATTGCCTTGATCTCATTGCTGGCGGTGTGGCTGCTATTGTCGCCGACGAATCAGAAGACGGCGAAGCCAAGCCGAAGTTGATGTTAGACACAGACCCAGCGGAACACCGGGCCATATTGTCCGCATGTGTGGTCGCTTATATGCCTTCCAGAGATGAAATTACAGAGATTTGGCTCAAGGGAGACAGCTCAAAGGCGCTGTTAGGACCTGATGATAAGCGTTCTGGACACGAAGCATTGTTAGACGGTGCTGTGGATGCGGCTCGAGGAGCGCATTCTGTTCTGGCTGAGGCTGTCAGAGAGTCTGCAGAGCGCTTTGCTGGTCTGGCCCCTGGGGGCGGTGCTACACAATAAAATGATCAAGATGAAATGTCATTGTATGCTCTAATATATCCTTTGTCAATTATCTTAGCCTTGAATGTAAATGGGTTCCGGGTGTACTCTGTTTTTGTTCGAAGTACCGTAATTGCCAATCCGTAGGAAAGAGTATCGATATCTGTGGAATAAACAGACGGTGGTATTGGCTCTAGCTATACAATATTAAATTGAGAATATATTCAAAGCAATAGCTGCAATATACAAACTGGAATATGTTAGAGCTAGTAATATTAGATTATTGATGCTACTGCATGTATTATCTCTACTGTCGAAGGAAATTACTATAGGTAGTAATATGAAGATTGCTTATATTTGCTTCTTTGGTTAATAAATATCTTTAAGTTTTTGGAGGGAGGGGAAGATTAGATAAATATACATGCCGTCTAGTAACTTCTAGCTTTTATATATAAACCTATTCTCCACCAGTTTCACACTGGACTTCCCAACTTTCTGAGCCCGCAAGTCATTTAAAGATAACATTACTAAGAAGTTATATAGAGTTCTCTGTTAGCTATTTCGGATTCTAGTATAGATTGCTTTCTACTACACGAAATACTTTTGACCCCTCTTGGAAGTTATACTTGTACTTAAAAGAAACTTAAAACCCGTGTCCACGCTGCTGGTCTCTGCCATGTTGTCGATAGATGAGGTTATAATATACTAGCTACATACAGGTACTTGTGAGAGCTGTAGGACATTAGCCATGATTGGGTCACCAGATTGGCAGTTGCCAGGTGAATGAATTTGGTCAGTAACGCCTGTCTTTTCATTGCTCAGGTGAGAGCTTGCATTCACCCAATTTACCAGAACAACGCGGCTCTGTGCTGTGCTTCTCCCACACGCTAAATTCTTTTCATCCTATCTGTCATACCTATTCCTACACAAGCCCAGTCAAATCTCACAACACTCAAGCCAAACGACGACTCTACAAGCCCGTCATGAAGCCTGCAAACCCGCGCCCCAAAGCGAAGCCCGACGAGCACCTTGTGTTCCTGTATCTATGCCTGGTCAACTCAGGAGGGGCTAATAATGTAAGGTTCCACGTCCCTAAGGGAAGGTTTACATCCAAGAGAACTTAAGACGCTCTCCACATGTCTATACAACCTTGCGACATGTGATTCGATTCTCCACAAGAGCGAGGGAATGTAAGCTTACGACTACTTTACAGATCGATTTCAATGCCGTCGCTGTGGCTTCGAACATCAACGTCCCAGCCGCACGTATGCGCTGGACCCGCTTGAAAGCCAGAATTGAGAAGGAAATGACCGATAGCTCTGGCGATCCCAACGAGGGTGAACCGTCTGCCGCGTCTACGCCTGCCGCCTCTCCCGCGAAGACAGCCTCACCCCCGAAGAAACGCTGTGTGAAGCGGAAGAACAAAAGTGAGCCTGGAGACGACGATGTCGCTGAAAACAATGACGAGAGCAACCCTACTGCGGAGGCAAGTTAGGTCAAGCTGATACAGGCGTCTTGACATTGTTGAAATCGGGACAAGCATGGTTGAAGGGGTTATGAGGTGTCAAGCGGAGAGATATGATGGGTAATTGGTGAACATTTTGCTCCTTAGTCAAGCAGGACGATTTTATGGGGAGTGAGGCTGTGAAAGCGGGCGATGTTTCTGAGCGGTACGTTGACCTTAATGGGGCTTAGATAGCTGAGGCAGAGAAATGCAGACTTTGGTGAACCGCGTGGTGTGTGTGTGCGTATGCAAGCAACGTAGACCGTTGATGAAGTCGACTGATATCTTTGATCGCTCATAGATCGACTTTCGATTAACCCGGGGCATCCCTGTGTTCCATGGGCTACGTAACTGACTTTTGACGTTTGTTGGCTGAGGCTAACGACCGTTAGTATGTCAAATGCACGGTTCAGCCAGCCTCTGCCGAAACAATGATGCACGAAAGCAATAGTGTCTCGGAGGTGATTCAGAGCTGAGCACATCGAAAGCGTCCTTCGTTGGCTGTCAAGTGTGATATCTGCCAGTCAAGACCCCAGTCACATGGGTACTAGCCGCATGCAGAAGGATCAAAGACGCTAATCGAAATAGTTTGACTGTGGCGAGTCATGGATGATGCGGTTGATCATGGTCTTCATATCTTGATCAGGATTATGATAGCAAACGTCCCGTTGGGTAGGAAGTCACGCTTCATAGATCAATAATTCTTAAATGAACGGGTTGGGTTCTGGACCCGCAGGGATCAACAGAAGGTGCCGTGCTATTTACCGGAAATAGCCCTAGTGCATTTATTCCTTTGGCGACCAATCCGTTGTTGATTAGGATCGTTGACGTGTATACCGAATCCTGTTAGTTCGGGTGCCAGGGGCGGTTCATAAATAGTATTTTTCTTTTCTTTTTTGTCACAATTGATAGAACGATGCCCAATATTCTTGGGTCAATGATGGACTTGTGATTCCTTTCTACCGACATGTCAGCAACAGGTACATTTCCTACAGTATACTCGGTACAGACATACGTACTGTACATCCAGAGCGTTGCTAGGGTTCAAACCCTCTCCCATGCACAGAATATGATGGCTGTCAGGCAACCGTCCTTCTGCTCCGTCCCGCGGGAGGAGTCAAATTTTACCTTTAGTACCACTTCAACGGTTTATGTGGTTCCCGAGGAATGGAGACCGCAGTACCAAGTACTCAGGGGAAGTCCATACAATTACACACATGCGTAACTTTCATGTAATCAACAAGTTCTGTGTGCTTGTGGATCTCATCTCGACTCTCATTTATTAAAAGGTCTATTATTGGCGATGGCTCTTCCATGTACAGCAATCGGAAGTTCTCCCGTAGGCACCGAAGAACAGTCTTACTCCGTAGTTCATTGTTCCTATTTTTCGGTATTCTCCCCCCCCCATCTAGATCGTTCGCCATCTCGTTTCCTAGACTCATCGGGCTTGCTCTCCAAGATCCCGCCTTGGTCGGTCTTATTCCGGGATCTTATGGTTCCATCTCCCTGAGATCCTCGATAGACCTACCCCCAAACTGGTGTTCACGGAGTGTTTCCGTGCGATATGCAATCTAGTACTCCGTACGCTCACAACCCTCACGCAAGCTGAGAAACATGCAGCAGCTGTCACACACGCAGGGCCCGCCTGGAGGATCAACTAACCCAATGTGGCTTTCGAAACGAGGCCTCAGTAGGAAAAAGAAAGCATGGAAGTAATCTGCAGGCCAGGGTGAAGGGCGGACTATCAGCGGATATTGCTAATCATCTTACCGTCTTCCTTGATCAACAACCGTCGCTCGGAAGTTGCCAATCTCGAAAGAAAACCGAAATAGGAAGCTGTGCGGTCCAGTGACCCGTAGTAACCTGGGTACTAGTAGTCGGAGCCATCCGCCATGATATTTCCGTAATTCAGTACGTACTAGGTAGTACGTCCTGAATTTTCCCAGTGGTTTGGTCCTAGGAAATTACTAGTAGGCGTGGAAGTTCGGCTCCTACGAGAGCGAGACTGAAGCCCCCCTTTTAGCTGGCCCTATTTAAATCACCTGTTGACGATCTCCGCCTGATGACATACTATGTAAAGTTACTAACAACTGAACGAGACCTCGGTTCAGGAACGGACTAACTGACCCAGGACTAGCGGGGGCTATCGAACACAGCATCTCGGGATTTGACTGGCCTGCAATTTGCCTACCCGAGCCCCGGTTCCAACCCTCTTTCAGACTGGGTAACCTTTTTTCGTACCGGACGGTACAGAACCACAAGGACCGAAGTAAGTCCTTGGTACGGAGGCCAGTACCATACCATCTTTTCCACTGTGATGGTGTGAGTTCCACTTCTTTCTCCGTGAGAGCGTAAGTATTGTCCTCCCAAGCTATGTCACTAGTCTCATAGTCCCACTGTTACGCTGTCCCATTCCGTTCTTGATTGGGCCGAAGAACGTGCAGATCCAATTTGAGTGGCATCGCTGTCAAGTGGAGTTCAAGCTCTACTTTTAGGTCATGCATGATGGTATGCACCGTGACCTTAACCGCGGGTGAAAAGGCCCCTGCGCATTCTAAACGAAGGTTTTCACAGTGTGTGCATGATCATGTAGGGTTTGGTCAACGTGCTGACCATGCATGATAATGCTCGTGATGATGATGATGATGATGGCCTTCGAGGGGGACGGCGTAACACACCTAAATGAACGAAGACCAGACTATCAGCTTGGACCCTGGACATGGCGTTGGGCTTAACGCTTGACTGCCTCCGACTAGCTTTTGACTTCCCCGTCGGCGGACTCAGACCTCAGCCCCCATCGCTTTGTCCGTCGCTCAATGGATCCTGGAGACTGGCCCATTTTCTTCCCCTGGATCCAGGAACAGGTATCGGATCTGCAAACCGGCTAAGTCTCGAGCATATGGAGTAAACTCTTTCTTTCCCGTTCCCCTCGATCGGTCGTTCTTCTTGACTGATGGTTTTCTTCCTTCTTCAATCCATCATTTGGGTACAGTTTAGCATAGGGTGCGAGGAGAAACCTAGGTGCACATTGATATTATCATGAAAGCAGTGTAAAAAGGTTGCCCGCTTTGACTTCTTTTCCAATCTGACCCTTTGTCTGTCTTTATTTTGGTTTATTTTCTCTCCTTCTTTTTTCGTTCGCCCTCATCCTTCCTTTGACAGTTTCCCTCACATTGATCTGTGTTCGAGACTCTAGTTTCTCTCACCAAGAAATACTTTAGTGCATATTGCCCTACCGAGTGCGCTTGACTAGACTTGATTATTTACCGGAGGGCATTGTTGCGATTTAGAATTGAGCAGTATTCAGGTAATTTGCTCGTGCACACCGACCCAGAATGGTTGCCCTAAAGCGATTTTTTCAAGCGGAGAAAAGCTCGTCCATAAATTCTAAGGATGGAGCTACTCGGGCAAGCAATACACCAGAAAGCGATCTGTCTTCAAATGTGAGGAACTCGCAATCTCTAGAGCCAGAATATCCCTTTCAGCGAGTCGAGAAACAATTTGAAGATTTGCATGA